TTTTTTTTTTTTTTTTTTTTTTTTTTTTTTTTTTTAATCTATGGAGAATCAGAACTCGAAGAAGCGGGATTGGGACGACTTGGCCGACTCGGAGGTCGGTTCGCCGGAGGTGAAGCGGCTTAGAGATGACCTTCTAGGTTTTCTCGACGAGTCCAATCTAGAACCGGCGACTCCCGATCTCGACTCGTTGATGAGGAGTTTCGAGGAAGAAATTGCTACTGCGTCGTCTTCTCCGGTGCCGGTGGTGGATTTAACGGTGGATTCCGGTGAGTCTCAGCCGGAGTTAGGCTACCTCTTGGAAGCCTCCGACGACGAGCTTGGTCTACCGCCTTCAGTTACTTCGAATAGCCAACAGGAGTTTGACGAAGCGACCGAGTTTGCTCGAGTAACGACCGATTCGTCTGAGACCAGTGAGATGTGGAGGTTTGAGGATCAGATCCCGAACTACGACGCTTTCGAACTGGAAGCCGGAGATATGTTCAGCGGCAGCCACGCGGCCGAGTATGTGGGTTTGGATGGGCTGTTGGAGTATTCGAATCTGTGTTCTGATGCGTTGGATAACTCGGATTTTCTCTGGCGGCAAGAATCTCTGCCGGCTCAATAGTTAGAAACGTCGCCGATTAATTTATGTTTTGCGTTAGGAGTAGATACAGATGCCGCAGTTGCATATAGAAATTGGTTCGTTTTTTGTTTCCTTTGTATTTTGATTACACAGTGGAAATTCATTTTTGTTCATGGTTATGCTTTCTGGATAAAAATTAGTTGAAACCTTGAAAATGCTGTTGCCATCCCCCGTTCTCCGTTGTGCCGAGTTTTATCTAACTATTTTATTTGGACTATAAACATTTTTTTACTTTCCCAAACAGATAGTAAAGAACTTGTTCTTTTACGAGGAACGAACAAAATAATGGGTAGCGCTAATTGTAGAAGCAGCGGAGCCATTGGGTTCGTCATCGTTGTCTTTGTCGTCCGGACATGGTGATTCAGAGACCGTGGATCCTTGGTTGGGCTTTTGGTCCTGGATTCAAGTTACATTCCTTTCTCAAAGCCCTTAATTTTATTGGGTTCTTATAGAAAACCAGCCCAAAACCCATTGTATGATAGACTTTAAAATTTAACCCCAAAAGAAAAAAAAACATATTTTTGGACTTGCGTTCATGTGTGTGCATATGTAAAATTGGTCGCACCTGATCAAGTGGAAAGGCTGATCATCGTCCACACAACAAGCGGAACAACCAACGATAATCGAAGTCAACGCCAAGTCGTCGGATAAAAACATATGACCGAGTTGCACAGAATCTAAACCCCTCCCACTGCAAAAGCTGAAGGCTGTCGTGCATTTTTAATTCAACCTTTCCCAACTTCCTCCATATTTCCTATTCAATTTTCAATTTCTTGCGTTGGGAAAAGTAGAAAGCAGACCCTTTCCAGTTTCCATCATCGACAGGTAGAACAGTCACTTGGCCTCCATTTTTTCGGAACCCGAACGTCGGTTCTTCAATCTAAAGTAGATGAAGCAACTACGATTGGAGAAATAACACTTTTGGATCTCGATCTCCCCATTCGCCGGCTTCCATGGCTAGGTACCCCTTTCATTTTCACAACTTTTGGATCATTCTTTTCCTTGCAATCTGGTGTTGGGGTCTGTTTATCTTTGATAGTCATCATTCGCTTGCTTGATTCGAGTTAGTTACTAATCTGGGATTACATTAAAACCAAGTTAAGTGGTCGTAAATGCACAACTTGGTTAGGTTTTCGGTTTTCCTGTCCCTGTTAACATGCTCAGAATGATGCTATTGCTATGGTCCTCGAGGGGCTTTTTCTTAGGAAAGCTTGGTTCATGGTATTTTGTACAATATAACCGTAGATATACCCTTTACATCCTTTGTTTTGAGGCATCTGAAACTGAAACACACTTTCCTGTACCGAAAACAGAGGCATCTTATGTTGAAGATTGTTGGGAGAGTAACCGTGCTAATTAAGGGGTTTAATCATGGGTTTATAAGTAAGGAATACATCTCCATTGGCACGAGGTCTTTTGAGAAAATCAAATGCAGAGCCATGAGAGCTTAGGTTCAAAGCGGACAATATCATACCGTTTAGGAGTTCCATGATTCATAACATCTTATTACTAAACTTCCATTTTCTTGCTTCTCGTTCTCCTCCTGATATGTTTTTCAGCGTGTGTTCTTGTGGAGCTACTAGAACAGTCTAAGTTTAAGATACCCCTTCAAAGTCTTGCTGTAAACACTACAAAAACTATCTTTTTTTGATTCTATAATTTGATAAAGATTGATGGATATTTTCATCATGGGGCATAACTTGTTTGCATTATGCATTGGAGCTCTAAACAGCTCATGGTTTTGACTTCTGGGTGTTATGTTTGATTTATGCAGACCTTCATGGTTGGTAGACAGCAATAGAATTGCAACAAAAATTAAGAGTGCATCTGGAACAAACAATCCTCGAAGTGTTGAATGGGAAAGCAACCCCAGCAGAAGTTGTCCAAATTGCCTTCATACAATTGATAACAGTGATGTATAACTTCAACTGTTTATTTAATACAAAGTTACTGGTGATTTTGATTAGGTCTTGTTCTTGTTGGTTCTTAGAGCAGTTGAAATCTCTTTGTTTGTAGGTTGCTCATGAGTGGCCAGGATTACCTAGAGGTGTAAAATTTGATCCTTCTGATCAAGAAATTATATGGCATCTGCTAGCCAAAGTTGGCATTGGTGGTTCAAGGCCGCATCCGTTCATCGATGAGTTTATACCAACAGTCGTTGAAGATGATGGCATATGTTATACTCATCCTCAAAAATTACCAGGTTTGTCATCACTGGATGAATACCAATTGTTCAACATGATACTACTAACTTTTTGTTTAATATAATGCAGGTGTTAAGCAAGATGGCAGTGTATCCCACTTCTTTCACAGAGCAATCAAGGCATACAATACTGGAACTCGAAAGCGTAGGAAGATAACAGACGATGATTTTGGAGACGTTCGGTGGCATAAGACTGGAAGGACAAAGCCAGTGGTCATTGATGGGGTTCAAAAAGGGTGCAAGAAGATCATGGTTCTATACATGAGCTTTGCCAAAGGAGGTAGAGCTGAGAAAACCAATTGGGTTATGCACCAATATCACTTAGGGACGGAGGAAGACGAGAGAGATGGAGAATATGTCATTTCCAAAATATTTTACCAGCAACAAAATGTTAAGCAAGGTGAAGTTATTGAACAGGAAGTTCCTGAAATCATTGATGCTATAAAAGTCGATCCCCGCACTCCTAAGTCTGCGACTCCCGAGCCTCCTCGCGTCGAAAGTAGATGTGTGAATGTCGATCCGGAACAGGATTCTGTAATCACTTCCACTAGGGACCTTGCTGAGGTACATGAAAGTCTTCATTTTTGTGATATGCATATGAATTGGATTAATATGGATATTGAAAAAGGATGGTCACCTCTTGTTCCAATCTAACGAGTCTGCTTATTACCAGGTTCAACCTGAATTTGAGAAAGACAAATGTGATATGAACAAACCAGAAGGTTGCTCTGAGGAAGTGATTGACGATGACGAAAATCGAATCGAGGAAGAACCGAAATGGTGGGAAGGAGAGTCACAGAACATATTGGACTCCCAACAACTTGTGGAAGCATTGTCTCTGTGTGATGATATCTTTCAGAGCCAGTCTCCCCCTAGGGACGGGAACGCTAACAACCACGGCGCATCAGGGAGCAAGTCTTGCTTTTCTGAATATGCAAAATTAGGAGCAGATGATCTAAGGAAGGATATAGAAGAGTGTCAAAATCTTGTCCTTGATCCTGCAAACATCGAACTTGACACACCTCCAGAGTTCAGACTTAGTCAGCTTGTATGTCTAAACCTTCATTCTACTACACCCAGTTGAGTTCATTACTTTGAAGTAAAATGACGTTTCTTTGTTCTTGTAACAGGATTTCGGGTCGCAAGAAAGTTTCTTGGCTTGGGGTGGCAAGGCGGCGGATGAGTAAATAACGTGGATTCTGCATCTGTTTTGAGAAACTCGAAAGTGGTGATGTTTTGGCTGACATTTGCTCAATGACACTCCTTAAACTCCCTTAAGCTTGTGTTGAATTTGTTATGGAACATTGAAAAAAAACAAGACATTTGTAAAGAAAAACAGAGGAGGGGTCGATCCCAAGTTCACAACTTTAAGCCTGTGTTTGTTCTAAAATTGGTGATCACATGAGCTGCCCAACACAATGGGCTGTAAAATGAAAGAAAATGGGTGTCGCCCGGCCCGACTGCGTGTTGCTGTGTCGACAGGCGTATTGGATGGGTGCCTCTGCGTCCACCATTTTGGTCCCTCCCTCCCTTCTCTTTCTCATCATCTCCATCTTTCCACACGTTTCTCGTGTGATTTGACAATGGCGGTGTAGAATTATTAGATTTTTTAATCTTTAAACCATTTGATTTGATTCGAGCTTTTAATATTATCATCGAACTCGTTAGGTTGGGCGATCTCATAAGCTTAAGGTTATGTCAAAATTTAAGTAATGATAAACCAAGAATGTAAGTATACATGGAGTTCGACTTGTATTTAATAATTTATAGTCGTTGAAAGATAAGTAGATTTTTGATGAATTGATGAAGAGATGGAGGATGTGGGAGGGAAGGCCCACCGTTTGATGGAAGAATCAGACGGCTGTGGTGGGCCAACAGATTGGGAAGCACACGTGGACTTGATAAGCCTGCTGTTTTGACCAACCACGTTCTAACGTTCTGTCGTTTTCCCTGTCAGAGGTGCTACTCTCCTGTGTGGCCGACACCAGAATAACATTTCCTTTTCACTTTCTCTAATCTTCTTGATTCCACCACGTGTCACTAATCGTAATTATTTTCCCAATTTCAAAAAAATATTTTCCCAATTTCAAAAATTAAAAGAGGAAATTTTAAAGTTGGAAGAAAAAAAATAATAATAATAATTAACTTATTTTATTTAATTAGTATAAATAAATGGAATAACAGGAATTCGGTATTTCTAATCATTAATATGTAATTAAATCAATATTTAATGTATGTCTCTTAAAGAATATTAAAATTCACGACATAATGTTGCCTCTTGTCAAAAATGAAAAAATTTGTTTGTCTAAATGTCTAACCTTTGTGGGATTATGTTATTTTAAAAATAAATAAAAAAATGCAGAACGGTTTGTAATATATTTTAAAAACATGGTCGGTTTGGTTGAAATTTGATGAATGATATACCGATTTTATATAAAATATATGTGATTTCTATTGTTTATCAATGCAGATATTTCTGCAAAAAACTGCCAAATAGTCCAAAAAAAAAAGAAATAATTTTGTATATTACTGAAATAAAAATGAGAAGAATGCTATTGCCACCTGTTTGTGATAAAAACAAGAAAGGGATAAGGTTGTAAGCCTTGAATTCCATGATTAATAGATTTGTGGTGGACATATTGCAAAGTTTTGGAGGGACATTTTATAAGGAACATTTATATTATGCTATGGATAGTTTGGATAATGGAATGATTATTTAGTATTCACAAATATTATTATCTCTAAGAATATATTTAAAAGAATAAATTGTTTAAATTTATTACCATTCTAATAATTGAGCTCATGATGTGAAGTTTAAAAAGAATCTTGTGCAAGCGTGGTACACGTCCATGTATACTCTAAAGTGTAGGTATAGTATGAATTTACTATAGATTAGGCCTAAACACATGTTGTCGAATGATAGAGCTACATGACAAGTCTAGAATACAAAAGATTTCGAGAGCATGATGTGAATAGTTAGGTAGGCAGGCTATAAATCTTGTAATGAATGAAAATTGGAAAATTTAAAGGTAATATTATTAGTTAATCCAAAAGGATTGGGGAAAATGAAAGGCAAATTAGGAGAAAATATTAGAAAGAGATTGGTCGGTGGTTGCACAAGAGACAACTGGCTTATGCAAAGAAAAGGGCAATAATTGAAACCCCTTTTTGACCGCCAACGACTCTCAAATGGTGACCCACACCAATCCTAAAATATTTACTACTATTAAATACACGCCTTTCATCATATTATCCACTTTGAATATAAATGCTCGTGATTTTATTTTTGGCTCCAGATCTTCGCAAGACTATTTCTTTTAAACATTCGACAGCTAATTAATTATTGTCATGTAATTATTTTGTGTAAAGTTGTAGAAGAAGATGACAAAGTAAATGAATAGTTAAATTATTTTGGTGTGCTGTCTGAAAGGACCAAAAAGGAATGGGGACGTTAATTTGGACGAAAGTAGTCAAAATCCAACTCCAACTCCAACTCCAACTCCAACTCGTATGAATATCTTATCACGAACTTTAAATTCTTATATCATTAATGGGCGTACCTTAAATTATCGATTCTTTTTTTTACTGATCTCAATTAAGATGGTGTAATAGTTTTTGTTTATGATGTATGGTAGTGTTGAAGATGTTATCAAAGATTATAAAGAATCACTTTGATTGGATAGATTAGCTTGATTGAATCATGGTTAAAGTATATAACTTTATCTGATTCCAATATCCCAAAAGTATGCAGCTTTTAGAATCCTTCTAGCTTAATAGGGTATCAACCAAACAAAATCTTGTAAACTTTAAACAATAGGGGTTTCAACATTTGATTTAATTATATCAATAATCAATGAAATTAATATTGAGTTTATTAATTAATAGAAAAACCCCATGAAGTTTGGTTTGGATATTAACCCTCTAACCCCTATAATATCAACGAGAAATAAACCTGAACTTAAATTCTTCAAAAAGTAACCAAATATATGGTTTCTTTACGGAAGCTTTAACCAGCTAGCATCCAATGAAGATGATGTAAGATTTGAATGGGAAATAGGAATACAAAAGTAAAGGGCAGAGAAAAAGCGATAAAGAGGGGGGGAAAAAGGGAGAAATCCAAGTGGTGAAGGTTTAATTTTGAGAGGGTAAAAGTGAATTTAAAAAAGAAGAGCAGTGAGCAGGTGGGTGGGTGTGGAGAATCCAACCACATTATTTCCAATTTCATTGTTGAATTTTGAATTGAGTACCCACAGCCCCAGATGAGTATCAAATTCGCATGCAATTGGTACCAAACTCAAAGGAGGGTAATAATGGAGAGGTTGAATAATAGTAATAATTGATGCCAACATTTACAATGTTATTAGGCAATACAAAATTGTGTCCCAAGTGGAGAAGAAAATGAATTGTATGAAGGGGATAGGATGTACAAAAAAAAAAATATATATATAATGAGAATCAATCATGCCAACAAAGAAGCATTATAACGCAACGCCTTATAATGTAAAGCCTTGCCCTTTGCTCTCTTACAGCTCCACCCAGCCCTCTGCCGCTGGAAAGCCTCCTTTTGGAACCTCCAATGCTGCTGCCGCCGCTGTTCATCTTCATCTTGTTCTTGAAGTTCTTGAAGTTCTTGAAGTTGTTGAAGTTGTTGAAGTTCTTGAAGTTGTTGATCTTGTTGTTGAAGAAGATTTGTTTTTGTTTGGTTGGATTTGAGAAGGGGAAACACAAATGGAGGATTCTTATATAGAAACAGGGAGTGGGTGTGAGTCAGGACTTAGTTGGCTTTTTCCATTTTTATTCATTTTATTATAATAATTATTAATGCATCGCGTGGAGCGTGTTAGAGTCTCATGTGTCCCCCATACCCACCAGACCAATGCTCTCACCTCGGCCCCACCTTTAACTATCATTCACATTATTTATATACATGTAAACATTTTTCAAAATTTGAGCTATAGTTTCATAAAATTAAAATTCATACAAAATCATATTAATTAATGCTATAGTTTTATGGCAATCAGATGATATTATATATTTTGAATTTATTGCGTGTATATATATATAGTCCAAGCTAAGTAGAATATATAGAATGATATGAGTGAGTGAGACTGATCTTATCCTAATAATTTTTTTGTTAAAAAATATTGATTTTGGAAAGTGAAGCACAAAGACAATGAACCATTTGTGAGAGACAAAAACAATACACGATAATGCACATATAATTGAATATAAATTACACATACGTTGTATCTAAATGAGAGAAGAAAAGAAAAAGGGAGTTTTTATGGTAAGGAAATTAGAGGACAAAGAATATTTAAGAGCATGGGGGAGGTCTACCAGCCACCAGCACAGTGGGTCGCCCATTCAACCAACAACGCCACCAAGCTTGCATTCTTTTTTCGATTTTGTCTCATCTCTATAACCCCAATTCAATCATCTAAGATTCACCCTCGTCTTCTCCTAACATCATATTATATGTCATATTATAGGTCGTTATGTCATATGAATATTTAATTTTGATTTATTTACTTTTTATGAGATGCTAGATATCTATTTCTTAATGAGTATATATTAATAAATGCGTTAATCTTTAGTTGTTTTTTTTTTAATAACTCTAATCAAATTGATTCAAGTAGTTTTTATATTTAAAAAAATCATAATGCTTATTTATTTGGAAATAAATTATTGGGAATGCGGAATTTATTGCAGGGATTAGGGGTATAATATGATGAGGAATTGAGAGCTCAACCTAATAATGATAATGATAATAATAATAATAATTAGAAATTAAAGTGGTTGTTTTGGGTGCATTATTCCCATTTCTGATTCTTTGGTTAGCTGGGGGGAAAATGAATTATTGAAATGTGGTATCAAATAAATGGGACCTAAACTATAAACTATGTATATTTTTGGTATGAATGATTAAAATATATGGGTTTAGTATATGTAATGTTAAGGGTAACGTAAATGTTGAGAGTTTGGAGTTGGGGGGTTTCATATATATTTGAATAATTGATATCGATATTGGAGCCCATAGTTGGAAATGGGTATTCTATTTGATTGGCTTTTGGGGGAGTTTGAAGTGAAATCCCACACGCACCATTTTCAAAAAGGTCGTCCTCCAACTTTTTTCTTTGTTTTTTTTTTCCCCCTAACAGATCTGCAACTGAAATTTCGAGGCAATTGTAAGCAAATAAAATAAAACAGAGAAGACAGGGCACCTCATTTGGGATCATATCCTCCTTTACCACTCTGCCCATCTCCAACAATAAAACCCTAACATTTCAGAATGGTTTAGGGTTTAAGAAGAGTTTAGGGTTTAGGGTATTTTAGGGTTTCAGAAGAGTTTAGGGTTTTTAGGGTTTCAGAAGAGTTTAGGGTAATTTTAGGGTTTCAGAAGAGTTTAGGGTTTGGGAATGTTGCTGTTTAGGGTCAGAGTTGCACGTGAACTTCTTCCCCTTCTCATTTGCTTTGCCCTTCACGTTTCCCTTCGTCCCATCAATCGCTACATACCAAAACTCCCCCACGTGGATCCTCCTTTTTTTCTTTTCCTTTTTAAATATTCAAACCCCACATTACTGCATTTAAGAATATGGGGTCTCATCCCCTCTTTTCTTTCAATCTTCCCTAAATTTTATTTTATTTTTTGTACAATAAATACTACCACTACTTGCCACACATTTCATGTCTTATAATTTAATGTTCTTGTTTACTAGATTAGGCACCTTAAATATAACAAACTCATATATTTAAATTTTATCTTGAAAAAAAAAAAACAAAAAACAGAGAGATTTAAATTTAAATATATCATCCATAAATAAGGGTCATCGTTGCACGTGTATCCCGTCTCAACGCAAATATGGAAACAAAGTCGGTGGAATAGTGTGCACGTGCGTCTCGCATGTGCCCATGTTTCTATTTTTTTGGGCCTTCTTAATACATCAAATTGGGCTGCTTTACCTTTGGGCCGAACCAATGGGCCTTTTTGGGCCTTCTTTTTTAATGTACATATGTGTATAGTTTAATGATTAAGGTATTCAACTTTCGTTAATTAATCCATTAATTTTAATAAAAACTTTACAACATCACTCATTCACTCACTAATTTCATGAGTTGGATTAAAAGAAAGCATATGATTGCAGTCACTGATTCAATCTACATCACATCACAGAGATCGTTTGAACCTAAAAAATCATTTTGTCTAAAAATAAAAGAAAAAAGGAATCCGTTTTTACAATGTTGCAGGCTGTAGCCCAGCCCAAAATACAACCAACCCAACAGGCCGACGCGCCCCACGGTTGAACCATGAGCTCAGCTTAATGAGCCGTCACCGGCGGCAGAGCTTCCTCCGGCGACTTCAATTATCAGAAAACAGAGAGGAATGACGAGAAAGATCGTAAGGAGCCCATAAGCTGTCGAGTGGACATGGCTTCTTGGCATCCAATCTGAGCCATGGCTTCCCCTTCCCACTCCAATGGAGTAGACTGGCTGGACCAGGATGAAGATTCCTACAAACCCCTTTCAGATTATCCCCGCCCAGCCCATGTTGGTTCCACCGGTGCGCTACTCCTTCCACATCGCCAGCAAAAACGAGCAAAAATGGAGGCAGCGATCCCAACTCATAAATTCTGTTCCTCTTCTGAATCCTCATCCATTTCTCCAACCTTTCCGTGTACTTCCCTTCCCTCCATTTCTCCAAATCGATAACCATCACCCCTGTGTTGAAATAGCACGCTTTCCGCCCCTTGAACGCCGCCGCGTGTTCCGAATTCAACCAGAATTTCGGGGTGAAGTAATTCGTGAAATTTGCATGGCAATACTCCGGCGCTCCCAGCACGTGATTCCCCAAATTGATTTTCCAAAGCTTCGCTACATCGTCCACCACCACCAGATCTGAATCGAAGTAGATGATTCTTCCGACGGTGGTTGGTAATAGGTCCGCTAGATACATTCTCGCGTAATTCAGCGGCTGATCTAAAGCTCGTCGAATGGAGTAGGTGATTTTTCCTCTTACCAGATTTGAATCGAAATGGTAGAGATAGAAGTTCAGGTAGGGGAATGTGGTGGTGATAATACGCCGAAGCTCTAACCGCCGGTGAGTGACGATGAAATGGAACACGATGTTTTCCGGGCAGGATGAGTGCTGAAGTACTGAAAACACTCCGGCCACCGATCCCCGAAGGTACGTACCGTCTAAAGTCATGGCGATGTGGATGACGGATGGCTTCGTCGTACGGAGACATTCTCGACCGTTTCGGAATGCCGGCGCTTCTCTAAACACCGGAAGGTCACCGGCGACGACCGTCGACGGAACCCATACGGTTACGGCGATGAAGAAGAGTAGAACCAGAAAGGCCATTAGGGTTTTTCTTTCCTTTTTTTCGAGATGTGGAAAAGGAAGACGAAGCATTTGAGAAGAAGAGAAGGGTAAAATCGGGAATTCAGAATGAATTACTTTTTGGTGGGGCTGGAATATTAAAAGGACAAATGAAGCCAGGCTGGAAATTGAAATGACCTCATTTCATTCATCGCCGTGACTATGGTCGGGGTTTTGAAATTGTGTGGACGTGCCTAAAAGAGCTTTCATCAAGAGCCGTACGATTGGTCTAATTCGAAATGAACGGTTCTGATGGGAAGCAAATTTGCTTATACTAAACATTTGACTTAATTGAAATCCCGTGACAAAAACACCAAATTATCGGTGCTGTTAATGCAACGACACTATATTGAGACCGTTGGATTAAGCGCTGTGATAATCGTCACCGTCAGACATGGGTGGGTGGGGGGTATGAAATGCTGGGATTGGACAGCCACTTGCGTCTTGATTTGTTGGAATTTAATTTTGACGTGTGTCGTATTAATGTAGCGTACAAAATATTTTATCATTCCTCCTAATGTTTTATTTATGGTATTGTAAATGCCTGCAATTAATTAAATCTTTTTATTTACATTTTCTTTCTTCCCTTCCTATTTATAGCAGCGAATTAATGTGTTGCCAAGAATACCCAAGTTATATATATATTACTTTCCGTTTATACCCTTGGTAGATACAAATAATTACCATCATCCTCCAGAATGCGCTTCATTTGGAAGCCTTTTCGTCTGAGCCCACAGTTTCGGAGTTTGGGCTATTTAAAACAAACTATCTTTTTGGTTCATCTTTTAAATTAAGTGGTTGAATGGGCCGGCCCGTAAAAGCCCAATATGATTAAGTTTGATTAAAAAAAGAGTTTAATATTATGCTTTATTTTACACCAAATTTTACGACAGGAAAGTATTAAATAAAATGTGGGTTCTACAAATCTAAAACCAAAACAGAGTTTATTACTTATTATACCACAATTTTTCATTTTCTGTAAAACAAACCATTTATTCATTTTTATTTTGTATTTTTCATCAAATAAATACTTTTTTCCTTGTTTGTGGTAAACACTAACCGTGGGAATTACAAACTGGGAATATTATTTATTTATAATTTTCTATATATATATATTTTTTATAAATGGTATGAAATAATTGTTTGTAGTACATGCATTTCTGTACATTATTGTTGTGTTTTATAGTAACAAAGTACATTCCCAAACAAATCACATGCATGCATTCAATCTCCATCCGTCCCCATTCTTTGACTAAATCAAATCCAAATATTCATAAATTATTTCACATATATATATATATCAAGGGCAAGGACAAATAAGTAATTTACTCGTAGGAAATGGGTTGCACATTAATGCATATCTCACATTCATTCAATCCATTTCAAACTATGCAATTTTAAATAATGCGATTAACTCTGTGTATAGATTTGAATGAAAAATAATAATAAGCTTTGGACGCTTATGTAGAATTTGTGACATACTAGAATTCTTTTTTATTTTTTTATTTTTTTATTGACGTACATAGAATACTTAATAAATTTTAATTTGAATGGCTTACTTTTTATTTGATTGACTCTTGTCTCGATCTTTTTTTTTCTTAAAAAAAATATAATTAAAAAACAACGTAAGAATTGATTTATATAATTCTATTAGTCTTTTAACTCTGAGAATAATTTTAATCAATAAAAATTATTGGAAATGAATTTCATATTCTAGGTCAACTAAAGCAAGAAAAAATATGATATTAAGTAAACGAAGAAGAAGGAGAATTGTTAAATGATCATAATTTGATCCATTGTTTAAGTAAAAAACAAAATTATCTTGGATAAAGCATGAATTAGGTGTTGAATTTATGGATGGAAAAAGAAAAAAAAAAGAAAAGAAAAAGAAAATGAAATTATGTATCTTATCCTCTCCAATCTCCACCAATAGGAGATAAGAGAAGGAGAAGAGAAGACGCATGGTATGATGCCTATGTGGTATACAGAGTCCTCAAAGTGGGCCCCACTTGTACAACCAATCACAATTAAGATTTGTTGCAGTCAACAAAAGCAGCCACCCACAACCTCATCTCTTTGAACACCACCTCATCATTGGCTACATTTTTCACTCCAAATATATATTTTTAATTTTTCCTATTATAATTTCTTAATCCAATATATTTAAAAAATAATTAATATGATGTTGGTTAAGATAAAGTTCGAATTTGGTATGATTCACAATGTATAAAACCAATAGTGTTTATATGAATTATTAACTCATAAAGTGGCAGATGAAATTTAAAAAAAAAATGATATTATATTCCTTGAAAGGACAACAAGTTGAGCTAAATTGGTGACAGCATTAATTAAAATTTTATGGCAGGATATTTTATATTCCATAATTAATAATATTAATATTATTGGATCGTGGGGGAAAAAAAAAAATACAAGTGACCACCAATACCATAATAGAGGTTTTAATTATTTGTTGTTTATTAGCTAAGATGGGTGATGTGGATGTTTGCGTGAAAGTGATTGGAGGATTTAATATAGCCACTCACCACGTAGTCCAGCAATTTTCATGTTGTTTAGAATAAAACAATAATTTAAATTAATGTTGTTCTGTCCTCACGTGCCTTAATCCGCGTTAGTTTGCCACGTCACCATAATTTATATATATATATATATATATATTTTTTTTTTCTGAATATAATTATTTATTTTTATTACTTGTCATATTCATTGTGAAGCTACAACAAGTGTTTGGTAAAATCTGTGGTTTGAAAAGCTACTTGGTGAGAACAAGTTGCGCTCTCAAAAAACCATAATCAATTAAAGGCATCCAATAAAGTGTACCGCTACGGAAATCCCACTCAAAAGTTAGTCGATCAATTTAGCTGTGTTCCTATACAATATTACAACTATTCAATTAATTAATTGTAGATTACAAAAAGTACATTATCTTTTTTCAAGATAATTACTATTCCTAGAAATGAGTCGTACAAAAATTTTGAATGCATGATTTGTTGGTATGGTTCGGGTGGGTTCGATGGAAGAACAGTGTTGGAAATAATGTGCATAGTTGAAGAAACAAGAATATGGAATGAGTACCTAAAAGACAAAGGCAATAGGAAGCTTAAATTTGAGTGACACCCCAACCGTGAGTCACAAGGACGCCGGGATTTAATAATGAATTTATTTAAATTTAAAAAAAAAAAAGAAAAAAAGAAATGCAGGTGGGGGCCCAGGGGAAAACCCAGGACATTTCCGTACATACATCAGCCAATTTATGTATATAAAAGGATTCATTCGCGCGTTGGAGTGGGGCCCAAGAAACCATTGGATCGAGACGGTGGAGGGCCGTTGATTGAGAGGAAGGAGGGACGGTGGAGATCGGGGGAGAAGGGGAATTATTGGAGGTGTGATGCAAAGAACACAAGAAAAGAAGATAAGCTTAGTTGAGTCGAGTCGAGAGGATGACATGTCAGCGCTGGGCTGGAAACAATAGAATGGGGATGTTTTTTGTTCCTTAAATTAAATTTTTTTTTTTTTTTTGTGAAAAAGAAAAAAAAAAAAAAAAAAGTGGGGGGAATCTGGTGGGTGACTAAGATGAACCTAGGCAATAAGGACAAACGAATAAGAGGATGACACGGTGGAATTAGGGGTTCGTTTGGAGGTTAGTGGATTTGTATGGAGAGGCTATGGGATGGAAATCCAATCCCTGTGAAACTCAAGGGCCCACTCCCCCATCCTAGTGGGAACTAAATTTCTGAAATAAGCACTTTCTTTCTTCTTCTACCGACACTTGGACGCTTCCTATTTTCCTTTTTATTTTCGCATATAATATAATAAAAAATAAAAAAAACCATAAGGGGAAAATTAATATTAATAATATTATTATTTAAAGAGGTAATTATTGTGGTTGGTAGTAACCAGAAGCATAGAGCAGATATATGAGAAAGAAGAAGAAGAAGAAGAAGAAGAAGCAGCAGCAGGCGGCGGGAGGCGCAGCAGAATCAGTATGAGTATGAGAATCAGAAAAGATACATCCCACATGGGGAAATATTTTAATTAAAAAAATATGTTATAAAAGATGGAGAGAGAATTGAGGGAAGTTTCAGGGGGGATGAACTACTAGAGGGAAAACACGGTCCAGGGTCTCATGTGAACCCCATCAACTTGTTCGCCCCCACTTCTCCCTTCCCCCTACAGTTGACCCATATTTTTCCATAAATATCCACTTTCTTTCTTTATTTCTTTTTTATTTTATTTTATTTTATTTTATTTTGAAGTCCACCCTATAAATCCACCCTTCCCCCCAACGCCCCATTCCACTTCATTCCACTTCATTCCCATTCTCCCCTCTTACTTTTCTCTCCCTCAGTTTCCCATGGACGGGATTTGCATTGACCAAACCACTTCCACTGAATCCCAATCCACAAATTTCCCCCTCCTCAAATCTCCACCGCCGGAGACTAGTCTCTGCCGCGTCGGGAGTGGCTTCACTAGTGTTGTTCTCGACTCTGACTCATGCGGCGTCGAGGCGGAGTCACGGAAATTGCCCTCCTCCCGTTTCAAAGGAGTGGTCCCACAGCCCAACGGCCGCTGGGGCGCACAGATTTACGAGAAGCATCAGAGAGTATGGTTGGGGACTTTCAATGAAGAGGAAGAAGCAGCACGTGCATACGATGTCGCTGCCCAACGCTTCCGCGGCCGTGACGCTGTCACCAATTTTAAAGATGAAGACGACGACGACGACGTATCGGCCTTCCTCAACTCCCATTCCAAAGCAGAGATCGTGGACATGCTACGTAAACACACCTACCTACACGAGCTCCATCAAAGCAAACGAAACGCCGGGTTATCCGGTTTAGATCGCAAACATAACCGTTCGTTGTCCGGGTTGGATTCGGACGCTCGCGAACTTCTATTCGAAAAAGCCGTAACCCCAAGCGATGTAGGAAAATTGAACCGTCTCGTCATCCCAAAACAACACGCCGAGAAAAACTTCCCTCTCCAAACCGGTTCCACCGCTTCCTCGAAAGGTCTGTTGTTGAACTTCGAGGACGGAGGAGGCAAAGTGTGGCGGTTCCGTTACTCGTATTGGAATAGTAGCCAAAGCTACGTGCTAACCAAAGGGTGGAGCCGGTTCGTGAAAGAAAAGAATCTGAAAGCCGGTGACATTGTGAGCTTCCTCAAATCTCCCGGACAGGACAAACAGCTGTACATCGAATGGAAGTCCAGAAAGGCGTCGCCCACAACCGACCCCAACATGAACCCGGTTCACATCGTCCGACTCTTCGGAGTTGACATCGTCAAAGCTTCTTCGCCAAACACTGGGTGCGGCGAGAAGAGGAGAGAATTGGAATTTCTCGCTTTTCAATGTACCAAAAAACAAAGGATAGTCGGAGCATTGTAACCAACAAATTTCCTTCTTCCTTTTTTTCTTCCTTTTTTTCTTCCTTTTAATTGTATAAAAAGAGAAAAAAATTTGAACCTTCCAACCTAATTGGCAAATCTAATTATATATTTGATTATTTATTTTTGATTTGGCACAAATCTGAAGAATCATTTATTCACTTAATTGATTTGAAATTAGTGTATTTTGCACTTGATTATCAATTCCAATCCTTTCCTTTTCTGCACATATTTTGTTTATGCTTCATTTGATTCTATTTCTAATTTTGGAAGATTTCAAAAATCTAATTCTATGGTATAAATTGATTTCTCATTCCTAAATTTATAAATTATCTGTTACTCATTTAAAAAAAAAAAAAGAAATTAAAGGAAAGAAAAAAAAAATGAACAAGTTGAAGAAAGAATCATTGCTTTAAACTTGTAAAATGCAATAGGCATATAAATATATATATATATATATATATAAAGAATTATAAAAGTTGTAGCAAACTGACAAACTTACTCTCGTTCACAACTTTGCCTCCTCCAAAGACCAAAACCCCCTCATATTGGACCACTTTTCCACATTCAAATACCTCTTTTTTAATTACTACATGTTCGTTTTTAATTAAATTAATACAAAATACTCTTTGACCTTAATTAAAAATTATCCGAAAATTTAAATGCATAATTGACATGTACCCATCATTTTTGTATTAATTTAGCCATTTTCCCTCCTATTTGTTTTACCTGTTCTTGTTGTTTTGACATAAAAGTTGTGTGTTGAGTGAGTATTAATAAATGAAATGCATATCATATGATCTGAATAATTTATGAAAATGACACATTCCAACCACTCTACGTGAATTGTTGAATATGTTAATACTTGCCAGGAACCAATAAAAAAAAAAATTGTACCTTCTCCTTTTTCTTTTTATTATTATTATTATTATTACCAATTTTAATTTTTTATTTCCAAAATGTTTTCTACCTTTCAATTTATGCTCACAAATTCCTTATTCCAATCTCTATTCAATGAATGTGTTCAAACTAAATGGGCCGGCCCAAAACTATTTGAAGCCTGACTAATTAAATGGCCCATCCCTGCAAGCGTCACCGGGCCGGCCCAATATTGATAACTGTATACCCCTCACAATCTCGCGTGTATTGCAATTTGAATATATATATATATATATATATTTTTTTTTTTTTACTTACCTTTTTAGTATAAATAATTTAAAATTAAATATTATTGATAAAACTATGCTAATGATACTCATATGATATGCAGCCGTAGTACAGAGATAGTGAAATTTGTACAACCTTTATGAATTTGTGTACTACAACTTACTTACACATTGCATTAATAGTTGCAAGTACACTCTCAAGAAGTACTCCCAACTTTATTATTCATAAACCATTTCGGATACTGAATCAAATAAACATTTCATATATATAAACATAATCTAGATACGTCCGACGAGGATTCTACGTTACTTTCCATTTTTTATAAGATGGTCGGTTTACTTATCTTGTTCCAATTGGTTTGTACCTAATGTGATATCAAAGTCCATGCAATCCAACGAGTTACAAATGGTATTAGAATTAAATACTAGAAAGTGTGCAAATGAGGACGTTGGATACTTGGATGGGATTGTGTGAGATGGCAAGGCAAAAGGATGTAAATAATGATCCGAAAGGATAACAAAAAAATCCCATTAGGTATCCAAATTTGGTTAGAAAAATCTGGAAAATATAAGATTAAAAAAGAAAAAGAGAAAATGATATTAATTAGTCTTTGATCTTATCTAGTAGTAATAAAAAGTCATGGGGGGTGATGACGTCATTAACAGCCCACAGATATATATCGAAAAAAACAAGAATAAAATTCCACGAATCTACAAGACCCGAACCCTAAACCTCCAATCGGAAAGATTCGATGTTATATGCGACGCCACGACTTCGACCAATCCCTCTCTTCTTCTCTCTCTCTCTAGAATCCTCCATTGATTCTCTCTCCAGAAACTCCATTATGTTGAGTTTCTGAATTTTGGGATTTTATTAACCCCATTATTCATTCTCTTCCTCTTCTTTATTTCTCTATTGTTTTCCCCAAGTTTATTCCTTTTCTTGATTCTATAGATTCCATTATTCCGCTTTCCAGTTCTTTCTCATTGCTCCCTTCGGATTTTTCTATGTTCCATTTTCGATCGCCCCACCTACTCCTTCCTTAAATAAACCAACCCCCCCTTTCACTTCTAAATCAATCTGGGTTTCTTTCGTTTTCTGCCATGGGTTTCGTTGATAATTTTCTGGATATTCGAGTCGGAATGGATTTGAGGCACTATGCTGATGCTCTGGATCAAGAACGTCGCAAAATTCAGGTCTTCCAGCGCGAACTTCCCCTTTGTTTGGAGCTTGTCACAAGAGGTAATTCTATCTTCCAATTACTCTTCTCTTTTTCTCTTACTTGTTTTGTTTAATTTTGGGTACGATTTGTTTCCCCCTTTTTTGCAGCTATTGATTCTTGCCGGCAGCAGTTATCTGGGGTGTCAACAGAGAGCTCTGAACATACTTCCAGCGATGGCCCTGTTTTGGAGGAGTTTATCCCGATTAACAGAGCGTCTGTTGATTCCCATTTTGAAAATGAAGAAGATGAGCTGTTACAACCAGAGAAAAACGAAGTGGGTCGATCGGATTGGCTTAAAACGGCTCAGCTTTGGAATCAATCACCGGAATCTCCCATTACAGAGGTACAATTTCATCATCATTACTCTGTTTCGATAAACAGAGAACGAGCGAGAACTTTCTGGGAAAGTTTTGTTAAATTTGTTCCCTTTTTGCAGGATGTTGTTAAGGAAACGGCGTCGTCTGCTGTTGAGGTAAAGAACAATGGCGGTGGCGGTGGCGGTGCTTTTCAGCCGTTTCAGAAGGGGAAAACCACTCCATTAAAACTAGAGGCGGCGGTGGACGTCGCTAAAATAGTCGGCTCTTCTCCGATTCGTGAGGCGACGACGAGTTCGACGGCGGAGACTAGTAAACGAGAGGAAAAGGAATCTCAGACTCGGAGAAAACAAAGGCGGTGCTGGTCGTCGGAGTTACACCGGCGATTCGTTCACGCACTTCAACAGCTTGGCGGCCCTCATGGTACACAAACAAATTCGTGTTTCTTTTTTTCTTTCTTCTTTGTGAAGGGATTTGTTCTTACGTGTTTTTAATTACAGTTGCTACGCCGAAACAAATCAGAGAGTTAATGAAGGTTGATGGGCTCACCAACGATGAAGTTAAAAGCCATTTACAGGTTCATATCGCAATTAATTTATACAAATTTATTTTTTAATTGTAATTTATATCAGAAGTTTGATTGTTCTGTTGTTAATTTAATCTCAGAAATACCGATTGCACGCAAGAAGGCCCACAAATTCTGCAATGCAAGACAGCGGCAGCTCCTCATCGCCGCAGCAATTCGTGGTGGTCGGAAGCTCATGGGTGCCGCCGCCTCCACCGAAGTACACAGTAGCGACAACAGCGAAATCGAGAAATGGGATTTATGCTCCGGTGGCAACGGCGGTGCGACGGCAGATGACGGCAGAGGAAGGGAAGGGGAGGCAGAGCGGCGGAGTTGTTCAATCGAATTCGCCGGTGATGTCTTCCTCGACTCACACCACCACAACCTCGCCGTCGGCGGCGTAGATTGTAGTTTTGGACATTTTTGTTGAATGTTGGAGAGTGGTGTAAAAGTTTTGTAAGTATTGATAAAGCATGTGGTATACATCAACATTTTCACGTGAGGTTTCTTTCCCCATTCTTGGATTTCCTTTATCCTCTTCTTTGTCCTTTTCAACTCCTGTTTATCAATCCATAAAAATTATTGCTTCAATCACGTAATTATCACAACAAAATTTGGAGAAAATAAACTAAAACATAAATCCGGTTTACGATGTCGGATGTCTCGGTCATGCTCGTCTAGGACGTGTTCTCCATTGCAATCCTATTTCACTTGCTTTCATGTTAGATAAACATTTATCATTTCATGTTGTGTAAATACACAAATGTATGACCCGTCACCAAAAATAATGTCTCTCATTGCTAAAATGTTCCAAGATGTGACTAGTTGTTAATTCTGCATAGATTAAGCGTCATCAAAGTTGTTATTGTTGTCTACTTATTTTTAGGTTATAACGTTCATTTCTCTAAAATGGTTATCAATGTATTTTTGGCTCAAGTTTTCTAAATTGTATCTCTCAAACATGACCCGTAAAGTTCAAATTTCACACCATTGATTTGTTCACTGAATTAGAACATCTGACACATAATCGCTGCCTCGTTACCACAAAAATGTAATTATGATATTTGTCGGCATATAAAGGTTTGATTTTGAGTGATGGTTGAAGGACCAAAATTGAGTAAAAGATGAGTATAAATGGAGGTTGAATGTGAACGAAAATGGTTAGTTAAAAAGTCGGAATTTTGGATCTTATCTTTTCTTTTAAGATAAGGTTTCCAACTTAATACTTACTTCTTCTCCTACAAAATTAACATCCCACTAAACCCACCTCCTTAAAAGAGAAGACAAAGGCCAAAACATATCCCTTTCTTTGCTAAATCTTGTCTTCTTCCTCTTGTTCGACGGAAGAAGACGCTTAAAACAAAATACACATAAAATATAGGTCCATAACTACTAAAGTATTATCGAGCATTTTAAGTGAAGGCTTTACTTTTTCATAGTTTGATCGTATGTTGCAAATAATCAGAATCAGACACTATGCTAACGAGAACGCTAGATTGTGAAGTCCCATATCGGTTAGAGAGGAGAACGAAACATCTCTTGTAAGAGTGTGGAAACCTCTTCTTAGTAGAGACATTTTAAAATCGTGAGATTAATGATGATAGATAAAGGGCTAAAGCAAATAATATCTACTAACGGTAGATTTAGGCTGTTACATGTTGCCTCTTGCCACCAATGACTATTGCTACCAATCTCTAGCAACTAGCACTTGTTGTTGCCGAGCACAAATCGTTGCTGCATTACCATCATTGACCATTAGGTCACGACTCACAATCGTTTTTTAAATATAAATTTGAAGTACCGATTCTAATATTATTGATATTTATGGATAAATTGATTTAATTATAAAAAAACTTTTGGAAAAAGGATTTAAAAAAAAAAAAAGCATTTTGGAACCTAGGAGAAGCCATTTGGTGACCTTTTCATTTCACCAACTTTTGGTTCGTATCACTTTCTTTGGTAATACGCATTTTTTCAAAATATTCACGACCAAGTTTTTCAAATTAAAGAATATTATTACCAATTACTCCTTTGACTTTTTGGCCCCCATATTCAACTTTTCACATGTGGTGTATACACGTTTGAATATTCAAACTATTGTTTTTTTTCATCTTTACATAAAATTTATTCACACTTCAAAAAAAAAAAAAACGACACTTTTGATCAAATTAAACTATTTCTAAAAAAATATTTATAAAGATAATAAGAGAGCGTCAATAGACAACCATGCCACTGTAACATCAAAGTATTATTTCATATATATATATATAATATTATTAAATGTATTAGAGATCTCTAGCTAAATATGAAATGCATTCTAAATATGTTATAGAAAAAAATGTTAGATTCACCGGTTATAATCTTCTTGCTTATTTTAATCTCTTTTTGAAACTATACTGAATATAAAATTTATATTTTAAAATTCAAAACTCAAGAGGCTAATTTTGGTATTTCACTTGGATCTATTTGGTAATTGAATATATATATATATAATGGGTTGGTAGATTGATTAAAATATAGTTCAGAAGTGAATTAACAAAAATAAATCACATAAGTGAAACCATTCTTTTATATTTCTCATTGATTATTTTGATATCCATTTAATTTTTTTTAATGTTTTTTAATTTTTATGTGAAGGTCAATGGTGCATGAACCAAATCTTAAGACATAAATTTTAAATTTGTGTCTAATTAAATTTAAAATTTTAAAAATTTCTAATTATTTAAAATGCTACTAAAATCTATTGACATATGTTAACCTTTTAAAAAATATATATTAATCACAAAATTAAAACTTTAAAAATCCATTACCTATAAAATTAGATGGTAATTTAAACTTCTAAAATTATATAAATTTGACAACTATGTAAGTAAGAAAAGGAAAGAACAGGTTTGGTTTTAATTGGTTTGAATGTGGTGTCTTCAGAAAATGTCCAAACTTAAAATTGGTCCCAAAATTCCAAAATTTTATAATAATAATAATAATTATAATAACACTCTTTTTAAAAAAATAATATCAAATTAATTAAATTTCCAACACACCATCTTTAGTGGTTCCGTTAACGATGTGATAGCGCCTCGATTCGAATATTCCGCAATGGTTTCATAATATCCTTTTTTGGTAATTAATTTATACTATTTAGAATATTCTCTCTCTCTCTCTCCCTCTCCAATTTATTACGTTATCTTTTTTAATTCTGACCTGGCCCACAACACCCCCTCAAGAATCTTGCATCGTCGAGATTCCCCACACTCAGATCTATTTTAATAATATCCTTGGGCCCCCTTCCTTCTACACTTTCCTTAGATTCTTCATCCAACGGTCTCCATTTCACGACCATGATTTTAAATAAACACGCACGCGCAGACGATCGTTGCCCCTGATATGGATAAGTTCGAGGATAGATAGTGACCCTTGAGGGCATAAAAGGCCAAGCGACTTTTGAGGAGCCTTGCAAATACCTTTTTTAATGAAAATTTAGAGAGACTATTTAGAAAAACTTGGAATCGATACATGCATAAAACGACAGCGTTGCATGCTGTTTCTTGTGAGTTATGTGCATGATCCTTTTTGCATTTGGAAAAAAATTCTAACGAATATTCCTTTCTTATATCTTGAATGGTGGCCTAACTTCCAAAGATATTATAAAAATATATTACTTTACATCCTTAATATTGGAACGTTTCATTTTTTATTATTGGATTCTCGATCACAAGATCTAATTTAACATTTAAATATAAATTTATCGATATACTTTTATTAAAATTTTCACTCTTTACCCATGTAAAATTTTAATTAGTTTGACTTGTTTTAGATATTAAGAAATAAAAAACGAAATTCAAAGAAAAAAAAAGGTTCTTCAAATTGTGCATTTGTACCTGTAAAGGTGTAAAAGAAGAAGAAGAAGAGTTCAAGGTGTTGACAATTTTGAACATCATTCCATCTGTCATGAAACCATTGACTAAGACATTATCTTACAAAAAGACATTATAATATGACATGTTTGACCAAAAATGTTGGACTATAAATCAAATTTGGTTTGGTTTGGTTTCTATTCATTTATTTATTTATTTATTTATTTATTTCGAGGTAGCTATACAATAAATATATGTTTAGGCATCAATACTAATTAATCAAAATCATTAAGTCCGTGACTTAAATAAAGTCTTTTGCCTCGATTTTGTTTCAACTACATGCTCTTCTTCAACACACCCATTAAATAAATTTAAATTAATTGCAAATTATTTATTCTAATATAAATGAACAATATAAGCTTAACTTATAGTAATACACACAATTACAGTCTATATAATTTTTTTAATAAGCCAATCATTGCAAGCTCATCGTGAGCATAGCAAAGATATGTATAACAATAATATTTAAATCTTCCAAAAGCTAAAATACATGGTCGCAATTGATGATGAGAGTTAATTGCTTTCATAATTCCGTCCAAATTCATTGACCTTTCATTAGATGCATCTCTTACATCAAGAGATTCTACAAACTTGGTTAGTGGCATTAATTAAAAAGAATTAAGAAACACACATTGTTTTTGTTTGTGTACCTGTTTGGAAGAGTTTGAATGAGACGATAGAAACTAGATTTGGTTGGGTTGGTGTTCTCTAATGCCCATTATGTCGTCCAAGTTCACTTCCAAACCATTGTTTGGTTTGGTTTGGTATGAATATCATGAATTGGGTGTAATCCGAAGGATATAGGAGCAGGACAAGTAGACTTTCCATTGGCAACACATAAATTTATTCTGCACTTTCCTTGTGAAATAGGACAAGGACTGAATCTGGATCTGAATCTGAGCCTTGTCACCCACCAGCAACCAGTAGATATCTGGGCTGAATTATCATGGAATATTGACACGAATGTAGAGGGTGAGGGCACACATGTTGGCTGGGTTTCCACATCTACAACAACACATCTTCACACACTTCGCTTTGGACTATGTTTTCAATATTTATGGGCTTAACAGAAAATAGCCCATAGCCCATGGGCCCAACCATTAAACTAAATTTACACACATATTTCATATTATCTTTTATTACTAGTTTAAACACAAATAAGTACCAAATCTTCAATGAAGTAGGTAAAAATGCTTCTTCAACTATGGTAACGAGAAGAATCTTGAAGAAATTTTCATTCAATTGGGTGGATTTTATATATAAATATAACTATATCTAACCATTAACTTATTTGATATTGGCTAAATTTCTATATTTTAAAAAATAAATAAACAAAAATATATTTTTTTTCATAATATATTCATTAATTTCTTGGGTGGGTCTCGTAATAATTGAAATGGGAGGCAATTTAATGTTGTAGTAATTATGTGCGTTATTAATTTTTTTGTTATTTAGATACCACCAAGATTGTCTCTAATAAAACGAATTATTTATAATTTTAATATTTTTTTTTATCGTAATTCTCTCGTATCAAAGTTGGAAGTTTTAGTTTAATAGTGAAATTAAAAGATTGATCCGAACGATGTATAAGAAAGAAAAAAAAAGATTATTACGAAAA